TGTTAATTGCCCATGGTGTCCAGGGATGGACAGGCTGGATGGATTGGCCATGGGAAATGCAGGGTTACACGGATAGGTAAGGAGCTTGGTCTGGGTGGGACGCTCTTCAGAGGGTCAGTGTGGACTCAATGGGCCGAATGGCCTGCTTCCACACCATAGGTATTCCATGATTCTAAAGACCAAATCATGAGCAGGTTCAAAGAGGCCTGAAAACAGATCATCAGTCTGCTTTCTGTAAATGCATGTCCAACCTTTGAGGGCCAAAGGACAATCTTGTTACAGTGACTTAAGCACTTCTGTCTTGAGTTTAATCTGTCCTATGCAAAAAGTCTCAGTGGTTTGATTCTCTAAGTTCTGAATGTTTTCATTGTTTGGAAGGAAAGTAAGGCACTCAAAATTAACTTTTGTTAAAAAGATCAAGTTACATATCAGATAAATATTTAGCTCGTATATATTGATAGATTTGGTGAGGGGTAACGGGGCATAAACTGGATATCAGGACTGAGGAACAGATATTGATGCTGTAGGCTGTTGACATAACACATGAAATACAGTTTGTGGATTTTCAGCTGAGACTGTTTACGGGTATTTCCTTATAAAAGGAAAGCACAGTGCTGTAGGAGTGAAATATGGTTTAAACATTTCTACATATAATCACATTTCAAACAGGGTATTGATTTGTGGCACATTCCATTTCCCTGGGAAGATTTCCACTTTGCTTTTCCTATAGTGGTTACCACTGGGAGGGTTTGAGAGTACCTGCACTGGCCAGGTCAGCCTGCTGCTGGTAACAGGTTCATCAGCACATCATGGATTTAAACAAATTCAGGCACAGAAGGAGGCACTCTGTGCTAAAGCTAACTCCAATTGGAAATCACTGTTCGAACCCCTTTTCCCTGCTCTCTCCATGTTCTAATTTTTGAAAATAAATGTTTTTCCCGTTATCAGCATGGCTCATTTGACCTTTTCTCAGAAACTTGTGGATTTATAAATTTCATGACAAACTTGAACACGCCAATCTCTGTAACACTAAAGGAGTGGGGCAATAATGGCTGGTCCCATCTGCCTGTTCTGGAGCCTTTCAAAGACTGTGGCCATTTTCAGAGCAGAGGTTTCTTCTGGTGTCCTGGTTGATAAGTATCTATGACACAGCACCACCCATTATCTAGCTTGTTGTTTGTGGCATCTTGCCCTATGCAAAGTGACTTTGTCATATTTACCCACATAACAACAAGTAATCGATTGGCTTAGAAGCAATGATGGCCTGAGAATATGATAATGCACTGTATAAATGCATTCTTCCATTGTGCTTTATTGAAATCTGGACTCTCATGGAGACTATTTTCTCATCCCAATGAATCTAGTTTCCATTTTCCTCATATTCTAATATCCTTTCTGCAATGCCCTTATACGTAGCACTCGTAAACGTGGCTTAATCATTCATATGTTGATAGATCAGAATGATGACAGTGCACAGATTAGAAAGTTAAAAATTAAACATGAGAAAGCCTCTTTTTTTTAAAAGCATGGAGTGTATTGCTCAGAGACAGCTTTCCAATTCTGGCTTTCCTTCCAATTCAGAATGACATGGAGTTAATGACCAATAGCAAGAACTAGGCTTATGCAATTAAGCATTTAAAACTTTATTTAAAGCCCACAAGCTGAGAATGTGCCACCATTGGAACAAATAAAGGAATGTGACAGCAAAGACAAAGGCCTTGATTTTTTGCGGGTCCATTGACACGCTCCTGATACATTGACCATGAATACAGCAGTGGCACATGATGCACAAACTACCTTTGGTAAGGGCTTGATTAAACTGGAACTTACATTGGTCCATGATCCCAGAGGGAGTGGGGTGAAGGGGAGCATATTCCTGCATCAGAACTTTAGCCCTACTTTCCACTTGGTGCTCCAGACATTTAGAATGAACCTGGTGTGTGGGCACATCCAGGGATCTGTAAATGGGGCATTGGATTCCTGATGAAAGCTGATTGTCTGCCCCTTTATAAAAGCAGCCCATTAGGCCAGTTTAAATAAACAATAAACATAAATATTAAATGTAAATGATTATGCTGAGAGTGCCAGACACTTCACCGTTACTTGACCAGTGTTGCTTTCCATCAGCTTTCCTCTAACAGGCACCTGATAAATGGCCCCCTGAGTTGTGAGTGTTTGTTACGGCTGTGATAATGCACTGAACTTTCCCCACAGCCCACATGCCCCAATCCTAGACATTCTGACACAGCCAAGGTCACAGGTCTTCTAAATCGGCTCTGCCCACACTTGCACCAGTGGACCAGGACTCAGAAAGATTGGAAAGATCAGTTATGAGGAAGGGTCACCGGACCCGAAACATTAACTCTGATTTTTTCTTCACAGATGCTGCCAGACCTGCTGAGCTTTTCCGGCAACTTCTGTTTTGGTTCCCCCCAGATGATGATGCCTCACCCTTAGCCTGCTGTTCCTTAACAAAACATCAGAAGTGGGCTACATCTCTTACCTGCTATTCTTGAACATTTCTGACTGTATTTGTTTGCAACCAGCACTATGATAGATATGATATATACCACCTTCATTGTGTCTTTCCATTCAGCATACGATCAGAAGGTCAGAGTTACAGATATTCGTTGATGATTGTATAATGTTCAGTTCCATTCACAACTCCTCAGGTAATGAAGCAGTCTATGCCCAAATACATCAAGCACAGGATAACACTCGGGCATGGCCCAATAATAGTCGCTAGCAGTTACACGATACAAGTGTCAGACAATAATTAACTCCAACAAGCGAGAGTTGAACCAGTTCCCTTGATATTCAGTGACATTACCACTGCTGAATCCTGCATCATCAACAATCTTGGACTTACGATTTTCCAGAAACTGAACTGGACCATTGTATGTACTGTGGCTACAAGAGCAGGTTAGAGGTTAGGAATCCTGCAGTAAGTAACTGACCTCCTGACTCTCCAAAGCCTGTTCACCATCTACAAGGCACAAGCCAAAAGTACGATGGAATATCGTCTCTTTGCCTGGATAGGGGCAGCTCCCTCAACATCCAAAGGAGCTTAACACCATCCAGGACAAAGCAGCTCACTTGACCAGCAACCCGTAATTATTTACTGTTCTGAGGAAGGGTCACCGGACCTGAAACATTAATTCTGTTTTCTTCTTCACAGATGCTGCCAGACTTGCTGAGTTTTTCCAGCAACTTTGTTTTTGTTGTTAATTATTTACTTCCTGAGCACGTGACTATAGTGTGTACCAATTAAAAGATGCACTGCAACAACTAGTCAAGACAGTTTTGATAGCACCTTCCAAGTCCTGTCTTGGAAATATGTTATATCTCTTCAGTGTCAACGGGTCCAAATTCTGGGACTTCCTTTTTCCTTGTGGGTGAACTTCTACGCCACATGAACAACAAAAATGGTTCAAGAAGACAGTTCAGAAGTACATTTAGGGCTGGGCAGTAAATACTGACCTAGCCTACACATTCCATGGCTAAGTCCTATGAATGCTTTATTTCACACATGTTAGAATAATCTTTTCATTCCAGCACTGTCAAGCATTCTGCTTTACTGGTCAAAATTTACTCTACTGCCTTCACATTGTAATCTTTTACGAAAGTTAATGGAGTTAAAATATCCGTTAAATAAACAAAGGCTTTCAACTCATGCTGAATAATGGCCTGACTTTAGCCAGCACTAAGTAAAGCATGATGGAACTATGGTGAGAGAGGTTTCAAACAATCTGCAAGCCCAGGATTGTATACAGTCGGAAAAGGAAGTCTTGAACCGAAAAATGCAATGGCAGCTTCAAAGATAGCTTTGATATTGAGGTAAACATTGACCTTAAAAACAATATATATTTTAGTTCATTGATGTATCTGTCCACCCTTGAAGTCATCACTATCACAGACTACTCTTTGTTAGATGTTAGCTGTTGCTTGTGGAAAGGAATCAACACAAGAGAAAGATAACAAGGCAAATTGCTATCTTTTACCACATGACAGATCAAATTGCCTTCCTGTTAGAAAATCCTGGACCCTGGTCATTCAATAGAGACAACAGAATAGAAAATCACTAAGGTATTTCATAGAAGCCCTACAATATGGAAGCAGGCCATTTGGCCCACTGAGTCCACACATGACCCTCTAAATAGCATGCCACCCAGACCCATCCCATAACCCTGCATTTCCCATGGCTAACCCACCTAGCTGCACACTATGGGTAATCCATCTAATATGCACATCTTTGGACTATGGGAGGAAACTGGAGCATCCTACGCAGACACGAGGAGAATGTGCAAATTCCACACAGCCCAAGGGTGGAATCAAACCCGGGTCCCTGGAGCTGTGCAGCAGCAGTGCTAACCGCTGAGCCACCATACCACCTACTCTACAGGGAATGATCTTCTCCAAATTATTGACCATGTGCTGAAAATGGAAGTTAATTCAGTTAGAAATGCACTCTAACAGATCCATAGGAAATATTTTTTGGAAAAGATGTCTATATCTCAAAGACAGCTTTTCACCTCCAAATCTGTAGTTCTTTAACTTTTCCCTCCAATCTAAATAAACTGTTTTAGTTTGCATTTTGTCTTTTAGTTTAAAAAAATTGATCATTCTCTACCAAAATGTTCAGTTCCATTTCACAACATCTGAGCTAATGAAGCAGTCGTGCTGATATTAATCAAGAGCAGGACAACTCTAATTGTTTGGTTTTATTTCTGTTCAGTTGTTTTTTAGTTTATTTTTTTAGTATGATTTATAAGGCAGGGCCATTAAATATTTTTAAGATGGGTGTAGATAGTTTCTTGACTAAGAGGTTAGTCAGAGGATATCAGGGAAAGAGAGAATCAGTTCAGACAAGATTTTATTAGCAGTAATAGTAGCAGTAATTTATTGTTACATGTATTTATGAAAATACAGTAAAATGTGCGTAAGTTGCCATAAGCTGGCACCATTTTAATGACATAAATTATATAAAGAAATAAATCATACAAAGTTAGGACGCTGCCGCAATCCACAGCCGCTAGACCTGTTCCTGAGGCTGTGACACCAAGTAGGAAGCACGCTGAAGCAGGCCGCACCGCCACTGACCAGGCCCAGAATGCCGCCTCTGCCAAAGCTGCCTCATCGCCACCGATACTCAACAGCCGCCATAGCCAGGAGACTGTCCCAGCTCTCAAACACCAGGGCGCATCTCAACTCCTCAGGACCAAGGGGCTATTCACTCCACCGCTGTTGCAGATACCACCGAAACATTAGAGGAAAAGAACAGACCGCAATTCATCAACATTTGAACACTTGCTCAAGCTGTGACCTCCGCGGCCATGAGGAATGGACCGGATCCGTCGCTCAACAGTTCCCCGCAACCTCTCTCTGCCACTGTGCCCGCAGAAAGAAGAAAAGATTAATTTGATTCAAAAGTTAAAGAAAAAAGAAAGATGGATGCGCTCGGTGATGTGAGAGGGAGCAGATGGTCCAGGAGCCTGAACACCTCCTATCCTACCACCTCTGCCATCTTGAAAATAATGGTGGCGTAGTATCAAAGGGGCCGATGGCCTATGCATGCTCCTAATTCACTTGCTCCTATGTTTTCTTTGTGCCATACCTTGTCTATGGTTCAGGCTCTCTAAAGTTTTGATTTCATACAACTCTTGTGCTCTAATTGTTTCATGTTTCTGGCAGAACATGGCAGCAAATGCACAGAATGTCTTTTCTGACAGTAGGTTAGGCCATTTGAAAAGTAGCTATTCTTCCTTTGTCAAATCAAAAGTGAAACCCTCTGCGTTAAATTCCCACTGCCCCATGGATATGACAAAGATTCCCAACAAACATATCATCTGTAATTATGTTTAAAGTAATCATGTCATCACCATTTACTCTGAATATGTCATTTGCAGCAGAGACAAAGGGGAACCAATGGATGTGGTATATTTGGATTTCCAGAAGACATCTGGTCAGGTCCTACACAGGAGACGAGGAGAATATACCAGTATGGATTACGAACTGATTAACAGATAAAAAAGTAGAGAGCAGAAATAAATGGATAATTCTCAGTGACAGAATTGTTACACTGAAGAATGAAGCTACTAAACCTATTGTGTCTGCACCAGCTTTCTGAATGAGCATTTTGAGTTTGTGCATTCTGCTGCCATTTCCCCATAACATGGACACTCTTCTATTTTAATTATCATCCAATGCCCACTTGGTTGCCTGAGCTGAACTTGCTTCCACTGTGTTTTCTAGCAGTGTGTTCCACACCGTAACTATATGCTGTGGGAAAAAGCTTTTTCTTGCATCACCTTTACTCCTTTTGCAAATTACCTTGTATCTGCGCCATTTTGCTCTTGATCCTGTTAAGAGTTGGGACAGTTTCTCCCCATCTATCTCATCTCCATTTTCCTCATGAATTTGAAAACTTCTATCAAAGTTCCTCTTAGCCTCTCCTCTACAAAGATGTCAGGGGTACTGCAAAGGTCAGTGCTTGGGCGGCAACTGTTCACAATCTCTATAAATAATTTGGTGTAGCGACTAATTGTTATATTTCCAAATTTGTTGATTGAAACCAAACTGGGTGGAAATGTAGGTTATGAGGAGGATGCAATGATTCTTCAAGGGAACTTGGACAGGTTAAGTGAATGGACTGAAAAATGACTAATGGAGTATAATATGGATAAATATGAAGGTATCCACTTTAGTAGACAAAAAAAGGCAAACTATCGCTTAAGTGGTGAAAGTTTGGGAATTGTGGGTAGTTGAAGGTATCTGAAAGTCATCAGATACCCACACGAAGTCATAATGCTCATTCAGAAAGTTGATGAGACATAATATAGGCCAAACAGCTTTATTCCAAACTGTAGCAAGTCCTTGTCCATGAGCCGTTAAAAATAGCATGCAACTTCAGCAAGTAATCAGAAAGGCACATGATATGTTGGCATTCATTTCCAGGGGATTTCAGTACAGAAGTAAAGATGTCTTGCTGCAGTTAGTTAGGGCATTGTTAAGATCTTATCTGGAGTACTGTGTGCAGTTTTGGTCTCCTTACCAAAGGAAGGAGGGATAGAGGGATAATCCAGATTAATCCCTGAGATCCAGAGGGGAGACACAAAGATTCGGAAATCTGGGTTTGAATTCCATAGAATTTCAATTACAGGTGATCTTATTTAGAAAATATTTCCAGGACAGGACAGTGGAAGGTGTTTCCCCGGGCTGCTGACCAGGCCATTTAAGACTGAGATGAAGAGAAATTTCTTCACTTCACTGGGGGTGAATCTTGAGAATTCTCCACACCAAAAGACTGTGGGAGTTCAATCTTTCAGCAGCTTCAAGATAGAAATGGATAGGTTTCTGAAAATTAATAACAACAAGGAATGATGAGATAGTGCGAGAAAGTGGCAATGGGGTAGACAATGAGCCATGATCCAATTGAATGACAGAATCGGGTCAATGGGCTGAATGACCTGCTCTCCCCATGGCCAGGAACGCCTTAATTTTTTGTGGGGGTGGGGGCAAGATGTTTGGAGAAAATTCAGGTTTTCAAGGGATTTGAAGCTAAATTCTTGCATCATTGTCAAGGTCACCATTATATCTTTAAGAAGTACTTTCTGTAAGGATTTTCAAGAGTCAAAAGTATGTTGGACAATTCAAAACCAGAAAAATAAACACCAATAAACAAATTGTACCAACAGCAATTCCCTTATGGCATGGATTACTGTGATTACAAAACACATCGGCATGAAAAACTCTAATTATAAGACATATTCTAAAAGAAACAAGATTTATACTTTACATTGCTACCAGTAATCTGAAACATATACAGAATGCTGAAAACACATGTCATCTCCTCATTCTGACTGACCTGCTCACTTAACCTTTAGGTGTGTGCCCTTCTGCATCCCTCAAATATAGAAGCTAGGAAGATGTCTTAACCTTGTTAACACTAGAGAGGGGGTTTTCTGGAGGGTCTGTTAAATCCAAAGAGGAGGCAAGAATAGGATGATATAGCAGCTGTCAACTAATGGATAGAAACATAAAGACATGAAAGAAATTTATGAACTGTTAGGGAAATGGAACAGATGGATCTGATCTGAAATTAAAGCAGATTTTAAAATGGAAAGTATCCGCTAAGTCTGAAATCATTGAAATTGTATCGGTGTATTGCCCGGTTTTGGGGATTTACAATATTGTGTTATGGCCACAGACAGTGGGCAAGGTGGGAATAGGTGAATCTGTTCAAGTTACAGATTTATTAATCTGTGTGTTGAGAGCACATGAATGGAGGGGTACCCTTGTTCACTGGTTGGGCCGAGATAGCTGATTCTTATTGAGATTAGAAGAAAAAGTGTAACATTTCAGGTCAACACCTACATAACTGAGTTGTCACCAATCATCCACTGTCACATTGTATCCCAGTGACACAGAAAATAGGCAATAATTTCAGGATCAATAAGTTAAATAATGACAGACCATTTACACTATCGTGACCAAAACAGAAAGTATTGGAGAACTAGACTAGAATAACTAGAAGGAAAATGTGAAGAAGTCTCATACTCGAGTCAAAATGTTTAACTCTGTTTTTCTCTATACAGAAGCTGCCAGACCTGCTGAGTTTCTCCAACACTTTATGTTTTTGTTTCAGATCTCCAGAATCCACAGTTCTTCATTTTATTATACTTGTCGTAAATTAGGCAAGAATCTGTACTGCAGGCAGAATCTTGTAACTGCCCAAATACACACAAAACTGAACAAATGACTCAGGATTTGGAAACTAGTGCAGCCTACATGTGATGTTCCCTCCTTTTGGCTTTGTACAGCTTTCTCCTACATAAGCAGAAGCGCTTATTGTCTATATGACAATAATTGCATGCCAGGTACTAACTAGGACCACGATCACAAAATCTAAATGGCCTCTGGGGAAGAGACAGAGAGTGCAAGGTGGTAGATTCAGAAATTGCTGGAAAAACTTAGTAGGTCTAGCAGCATTTGTGGAGAGAAATCAGATTCTTCCTCAGAACTGGACCTGAAACGTTTACTCTGATTTCTCTCCACAGTTGCTGTCAGACCTGCTGAGCTTTTTTGTTTCTGATTTCTAGTATCTGCAGTTCTTTCGTTTTATTTAATAGAAAGAAGCCAGAAAAGTTGCAATGGAGAAGGAGGGTTGTGGGAGGGGGGAAATGTGGTGGTGAGGATTATGGAGGTGAGATGTGATTTTCAAATTTTCCTTTATTGGAATGAGAGTGGGTTAGACAGGTGCAAAACTTGGTCTCATCCAACAAAAGACGCAACTTTATTATTCCAAAATTTTATCAGCCGAAGAATACCAAGATTTGTTTTGAATTTAGACTAAATTTATGTAACTTTATGTTGGCTAACCCGACTTATTTTATAATATTCTATGTTCATATTTTCTGCATCATTTAATGCTTTACAAACCCAGCTATCGCTGTGTTGCCCTAGAGTTAAAAAAAATCAGTTTGAAGTCAAGCATAATTGATAATACATCAGTGAGTAAAATTAGAGTAATAGCCTAAGTAATTGGGAAATATGTAGAGGGAGAAAGTAGTCAAAAGAAATGAAAGGAGCCAAAATGCAAGAAAAAAAAGTTTTGGCAACAAAAGGAAATGTGTTTACATGGAGTGCACCCAAGGTCAACTTGATAGCAAATATATGATTGTGATTTACAGTAAGGCAAAGACATAGGGAATAAAATGCCTTAGTATAAAACTCTGGCAGAGACAGAAAAATCAATCGCAGATTTCTACGGCACATGGAGCTAAATTTTACCAAAAGTTGGTTGTGTCAATTTCAGGGAGTTGCATGGAAGAGCTTGTCCTTGGAATGTTCTCAGGGATATAGACATCCTCCTATAGGGATATGTGGCAGCTCCCAGGGTAACCGATACAGCCGTCAAAGATACGGTACCAATGATCACAGAGACTCTACACTGATGAAGTGGAACTCTTTCCAGTTGATGCCAGTTTAGTTTTGATATGGTGCTCACAATGTGATGTGTGTACAGTCTACAGTCACCTGAAATCCAGCCAACCTTGTAAAACCTATAACTGGGCTGCAGCACTGACCGTGTCATGGAGAAACAAGATAAAGTTGGGTGATCTGGCACAAATTGCATCAGTGACAGCCTTGAAACATCTATGGATTGTGAGATCCCACCCAGGCCCCCAGTGGATCTTTGGAAGCAGCCAGTTGCAGAAATGTTAGACAAACAGGAGCCTGGAGAAACACAACAAGCCAGGCAGCATCTAGAGGAGGAGAAGTCAACGTTTCGGCTATTACCTTTCTTCAGGACTGAAGTTAGTGTTGCTGTCACCTTGACGACGACCAGGTAATGATGGTCATCTAGGCGGGCAGGTAGTAGGCCCTGCTCCAGCAGGTTGTAGGCCCTGCTCCAGCACGTAGTAGGCCCTGCTCCAGCAGGTAATAGGCCTTGCTCCAGCAGGTTATAGGCCCTACTCCAGCACGTAGTAGGCCCTGCTCCAGCAGATTGTAGGCCCTGCTCCAGCAGGTTGTAGGCCCTGCTCCAGCACGTAGTAGGCCCTGCTCCAGCAGGTTGTAGGCCCTGCTCCAGCACGTAGTAGGCCCTGCTACAGCACGTAGTAGGCCCTGCTCCAGAAGGTTGTAGGTCCTGCTCCAGCAGGTTGTAGGCCCTGCTCCAGCAGGTAGCACAGTTCGATGACGGTGTCCTGGGTCAACCTCAGCCTGCAGCGACATAATGCCTCGCTCCTTATTGAGGGTGATAGAGTCTGGGACTCCTGTACCTCCTCCTCCTGAGGCAGCCATGGCTGCCCCTGGGCTGTTTGGCACATCTGCTCCTCCTCCATTTCTCTGCAAACCTTCACAGCAATGGCAGCCAAGACCCCTGCCACGGCTGGAACCATTGTTTACAATTTGAATGAACCTCCATGGGGAATATCAGAAGCCAAACAGGTTCTTGGTAATGTGAGCAGTCAGCATTTGTGACATTGAGGACTCTAAGGAGGAGAGCTGTGGAATGCCTCTACATGGACGTTTGACATAGGGGATGTATTCCAATGTAGACAGCACAAGCCGTACTACAGAAATACAGAGGCAGATTCTAAGTGAAGTAGGATTACTGAAACTTTGCTCCCCCCCACCCACCCTCCACATCACCCAAGACAGGCAGCATTGCATATGCAAGTTGGCAAATGCTTCCAGTTCAAAGTGAGAGGAAGTCAACTTCATGCCCCTGTGCAGCCTGAGATCTTCAGTTGTCTCCATGAATTGTGGCCAGAATGTAACACTTGTAAGGTTGCCTGCGATTACTTCTGCTTCACAGAGATGACTGTTATCAATCTGTGGTGACCAATGACATGGTCAGAATTGTTTGTGAGCAGGATCTGTACCTCACACAGTTGGGCACTGCGCACACTTCACATGCAGGGTACTGTGAGTGCAGATACCTTCATCCTCAACTGTAAAAATGCCTGTTTAATGTAATTGCCCCTTGAAAGGTCTCACATCACTCACAAGTACAGCCAGCGTGCATAGTCAGGAAACAAACTACTTGCTCCAGACTTTCTTGCTGTGGTCAAAGTTTACATTTACACTGTTATAAGATAACACAGTGTAGAGCTCCAGCATCTGCAGTTCTTACTATCACTTACATTTACACTGTGCCTTCTTGATTCACATTTAGGATGGAAGACAATGCAGATCGCTTTTGGCACAGTGAATCTAAGGCTAAGCCTGGTCATCAAGGAACTGCCCTGAATCTAATTGTTCTTTTCTTCCTTGCCTTCCATATTGACCTCATTAGTGATGACCTTCCTTCCACACATTTCCACCCAACTCTTTCATTTAAATCTCGCCTAACGTTACTCACTGAGGCCTGGTTGTATAATTTACCTATGTCAACCATCATGCTGCACTGTTCTCCTCCCTCTGGCGAAGCCAGGGTGATTGTGAGATTGATGTAGCATGGTGGCATATTTCCACTCCCTTACCTGATGACAATCACAACAAGCTGCCTGGCTTTGTAGCTGCTCTAAATGGTAAGGCAAAGACAGAAGCGCTGTGAACTTTGAAGTTCTGAGTGAGACAACAAAGTCCAAAAGGACAAGGCGAGGCAGAGTTGCTGTGAGCATCCAAGTAGGCACAAAATGAGTGAGCACGAAGAGAGCAAGTGAGGAGCCCTGAAATCCACTCTGGTTGCTACCATGAGAAAGGTTCCTGTCTCTGCACAAAACAGCGTTACAATGCCTGGTACCAGTGCACTCTAAAGTGCAGCATTGAAGTGGAGCACTGTATTTCAAGTGGGTTGGCACTTACCATGGTGATGTGGTGAGGTTAGAGCATTGCCAATGTCAAGTTCTGGGGATGCGATGTGCGTGCGGTCACTGCCCATGGAGCATGTTCAGGATGGAGGCCCAGAAGTGAAAGCAGCAAGCCTTAGGTACCCACTCTGACTTTCCTATTGGGCATTGTCATCGTCTAGTCCACTGCGTGGGAGAATTGGAAACTGCATAGCAATAACGTGAGGTTAGGCACTACTGACACGCTAATGCATGGAAATAGGTACCTCACCACTCACTTGAGCGATTCTCATCTCACTGTTCAAAACCAGGTTGCAGAATCGGACTTTATTTTCTCTATGTTGAAAGCTTCATTTTTCTGCTCTCACAGGTAATTGTCCAACTGTCTCACCATTGCACATGTCAGCTGGTAAAATTCAGCCCATGGTTTCTGGAAATAAGTCAAATTGTGTTGGAGACAATTTATTACTAATAATTTTGTACAATTTTTAATATATTTATAACCTTAGACATATTAAGGCAAATTTTGTGATGCTAGTCTGGAAAGTCTGGTTGAAGGGAACACAGTTTCCAGATAGGACTTTAATATAATCAGTCTGGTTCTCCAAACTGTGTTCCCTGGGATTGCAATTTCCCATGGGATTATGGAATCATAGAATTTGCCATATTGCTGATGTGATCACATATCCGATCGAGTAGGACAAAATTTACAGCTAGCATTATGTTTCAAAAATAAGAACAGTAAGATGATTAATTGATTGCAACAACAGCCTTTTAATTATTATTGTCGGATCTTTGGTGGACTTATTTTAAATATTCTCCAGTTGTTTATTTGAGCGAATGAGATCACTTTTATCCTGCAGATAGCTTTAATGTGTTACAATATTGATTGAATTGGTAATTTATGGACTCTGACAGAATGTCCAGTTAATCAACTATTGGTTAGGAAATTGATCACATCCCTTGTCAGAATTTCTGGTGTCTAGTCTTGCCACATCACATAAACTGCTAGCTTTCCAAGGAAGTTGGAAAATTATCACTAACATTTGTTATGAAAGACTCTTAGCTGTTTAAATAGATATGTTTGAATGAAGTCTCTCTTTGACTTTCTTTTCTGTACACTGTAGAGCTAGATTTATCTTGTTCCTACTCACAGCCAAGCCCTTTCCACTTGTTTTCAGTCTTTTCTGTACCCTGTCCAGTACACGCATATTCCTTTTGGAGTCCGCTGAAACTGTATAAAGATTCAGTTCAACTTCTTTTTATCTTTACTTTTTTTTGGTTCCATATCCCAACATTTGACTTCCTCTTTTGATTATTTTTCCGCAATGTCTCAATATTGAAAGCCATGACTCTGTTGCCATCACTATTGAATCCCCTGTTTGCTAAATGTCTCTCTGCTAAATCATGTTGCATGCTAATCATGTCTTGCAATATATTTGCATCCTGTCCATTGATGTGAGAAGGGAATTGGAAGAGCATCCCAGATGTAGAAGCATTATTGAAATCTTGGACAGAGTTGGGTTAAATAGTTTTATGGAGAGTTAAAAGTTGTTATTTAATTTTGGCACAAATAAGGAAATAGAATTTCTTGGAGACAGTTGTAGCAATGGAGGAGATGTGGGAGTTTAGAAGAGATTGTAGGGTGAAGAAGACCAGAATTATTTCAGTCTAGCATGGCGAAATTAGAACCGTAAAATAAAGTTAAACAGGCCTGACAATCTTTTCTGAAGTTATGGTTCTTTAAAGCTACCTATTTAAAATATAGTCACTTCAAACTTACAATAGAAATAAGATAATACCAAGAATACTTACCCTCGCAATGGCCTGTAGCTCTAGGGAATTAATATGTCCAAAAGTCACCATTTATTGAACACATTGTAACGCTGAACATACCATGATATTGCAGTAGCCTTTATTATCTGTAGAAATGCAATGAACATTCCAACAATTATGAATAAAAAACACAAATGATTATTTCCATTAGTTTGACTTTATATTTAACTAATATATTGAATTATGTATTTTACATTTACTTTTCATGCTCACTAAAAAGGACTGAGTTTTTCGTTGCAATGTAAAAAACAGAATCTGATTGGCTGATAAACAGTAACTCAGAGCCAAATTATTAGCCAGTTGAGGCCAATGAGTCTGAATCTTTAATGATATTTTCAGCATCAGGTCGAACATATGGGAAGTTAACTGTTTCATACCTCTATCACCTTGACTTGGATGAATATTATCCCAGATGTTCTAGATATTAAATACTTAAAGGGTGAGCATAAGGCACCATTCTGGATAAAATACCTTGATGTATAGATTAAGATGATACATTGCTGGCATTTTAATGCTGGTGTTTTGCCATTTGAATAACTCCCTTAGGTATCAGCTTGTGAACTTTGCTTCAACTTCCATCTTGTTTCCCGATAGAAGAAATAGCAACCCGACATGATGAGTTGGTATACAATGGGTTAATTGCCTTGGCATTTTTGTTATTTGAAAATGCGCAAGGAAATGTGGATCACATGACATTTACTAAATATAGTGCCCTTTTCAAAAGTCCTTCTTCTAGTTCAAATTAATGAATTTTCCGGGGGAAAAAAACATCACTAGGAGGCTTAAAAAACCTTCATGCTGTTGGAATACAGACACATGCTTTGTGTTTATGTTTAGATTTTAAACAATGTAATAGCTTCCCACAGATGGACAATTTAAAAAGGCTGCTTTCAATTTTTGAAAGCAATGTGAAAATTGTTGGTATTGGAAAAAAAACACATGGCTACGTGCTCATCTGGTGGTAGCTTCTTGTCCCTGCCCTTGTTTGCCATAGTCAAAACAATCAATGCAGGCATTCGGCTAAATAACAGGAATTGCTGCAGTGGCCAAACACGTTCATCTCCCTCAGGGCCTCTGTTGCATTCTGGATTCTGTTCCTGATAAGAGTCAGCTGGTGAGGAGCGTCAGAAACTTGCTTTGAATCTCATGCTTTTCAACATAATTCAAAACTATTTTTCAAATCACATTCTCAGCTCTACGTCAACCGACAGTTACCATTACTGCATTGACATCGCTTGAGTTCACAGACTCCGCTGAAACACGTCCACCAATCTTAGAAACAGCACATGAGCTATACAGAGGCTTCTCACCTCATAACCCAGTCATGCACATGTCCTACTGAACTGTCATTGAGACAGTGCGCGGACGGCACTCCCTTAAAAGGCTTACAAGTATGCGAACTTTTTTGAAGCTTGATGTTTTTCCAGTGTCAATTGCCTTATAATCCCCTGTGCTTCTGTGACTCATTCTCTAGCAAACAACACATTAAAAACATTTGAACACGTCAATGAATCCTGGTTAACAAGAACATTTTTAAAGTAGCCACATCCCAATCAATATTCGAGTGAAGCAATAATACGTTTATGTAGAATGTTAAAAATGATTCAAGTCACTTTACAAACGCCAGAAGGACAAGGCAAATCAAAGAACGAAAGTTTAGGTGTCACCAACTGCTTAGGCAAAGAACTGAGTTTAAAATCTAAAAGGAGATGCGGATGGGGAAGAAATGACATAATTTACGGATTAAATGGAAAACACAGTAAATAAGATTGTGTGAAAGTAGAAGAAGGAATGCACAAGAGGATGGAGTCAGAGGAAGGGGACTTTCATAGAGGGTGGGTATTGTTGGACAGGTAGAATTTAAACAGACAGAGGTGTGGTTACAATATGATTTAAATGCCACGATATGAATTTGAATATCTGGGTGGCAAGCAACCAAGAGACCATGGTTCAGTGAAGTATGGGACCCACTATATCCATAATAACCCATTTGGGAACTACATGCAGCATCAAGAGGGCAAGATGCCCTTTTAATTGCATATCATGGAATGATGGATTGGAAGTCTATTGTCTTTTGTTGGATGTTCAATACAAAATGAGCTTAGGCAAAGAGTATGGGCCTAGACTCAGAGCTGTTTCATATTTGATGCTAATCGATGTCAAATCTGAAACCTCACTTGGAGCGAACACAGCATGACAAGTCCAGGAAATAAAAATGTTGCACTGATACAGGAGGAGGTGCTGTCCTGTGGCTGGAATTATGGCACAGTATTAGGACTGAGTCAAATGAGCTTTGCATTACAACTGACTAATTGAAAAAGAGTGCTTGATGCTGGGAGTGATTCCAGAAATGAGGAAGTGCGTTAATTTCCAGCCGTAACATTACACATGTTACTAGCATAAAGGAATATCCAGTTACCTTTCCTGAGAAAAAAATTGTGATGCAGTGCAACTCCGGTCATCCGTTTGATATTTTGCATCATCTACATAAAATTTGTTCCTGTCAAATAAAGGTGTAGTGAGGTCAATTTGAGGCATATTTACAGGTTGCAAATTTGCATTATAAAACTGCATAATGTGTCATAACGAATCCCTGGGGTTCTCCAATCCATCTTTCAGAAAGCACACTATTGACAATAGAACATTTCACCACTGTCGCGGGTGTTCCCCTGAACTTTGTCTTTCTTGTTCCTTCCAAGTTACATATACACTGGTCTTTATTACTGCTTCTCTAGCCTCAGTCTTCACTAGGTTGAAATTGAAACTCACTGCACAGCATCGTACTCCTTCTGATTGTTCTTCAGGACCCCAGAGCAGTGGGAAATTTTAGCACCTTCTTTCTTTCCTCCTATAATTTACAGGTTTTTAATCCCATGTTGTTCACTGTATAGCTACTGCTTTGGGATTTATTCCCTCGTTTCTAGGTTTCTGTTGTTTTAAAGAAAACTTGTTGTATAGCTTTTCCTTTATTCAGTAGGTTTTAGTGCTATTGTTGCTTTTTGCTTCAGGATAAAATTGACAGGTTAGTTTAAGAGCTGCTTTAAATTCAGTAACAATGAATAAAGGGAGTCTAGTCATGACTGACTCTCCCATGCCTGTCCTGGGATCCTTACACATTGCCAAGATTTCTAAGTTTCTGTTGATAGCCTCTGAATACATCCTTTTGTTCAATTTCAGTCATCAGTCTCCAGCTACTTGTACTGTAATCTTAAAACATGCTTTTATTTTTCATCAACACATGTAACATTTAACCCTTTAAGTGTTGAATTTCTTTCCTTTTCGCATTTGGAGGTGTGTTTTACATTGTTTTGACAGAGTGAGGTGGATGATCTGTTTAGTGTGTGTCTACTGCGATTAAATTGAAAACATTGGTCAGAGTTCTTCTTTTTTTGAGATAAACGGAGGTGAGTCTAAAAGTGGGAGGGAGAATGTGTCAGGTTTTCTCCCAACATTACTTCCTTCTCTGCTCATTCCTGTGTGGGGAGAATGCCATATTTTATGGGCAGGTAGAACAGAGGTTTTGCCCTTCCCCAGGACCTTCCAGCCACCATATTTAAAAGGCAGCAGTTTACAGTCCCCCATCCAGGAGCATCACTCAACCTCTGTCCATCACCCCCACCCACCCCCAGAGAGGTCCGAGATCGGGCAAAATACAGGCTGTCCAGACGAGAAGGCAAGTTTCTTTTCCTTTTGGATGAGAAGCCATTCCAATTGATGAAGGCGATGGCTACGGGGTTACGCAACCTGACAACACTGAAGTCCCTGGTTCTGCTTTTCATGCAATGCTTGCTGATCCAGAGCTCGGCACCCCCTGTGCTCATGTCTCTGTTTCTGCTGGTGATGGTCATCCTTCCTTCTCCTTCATCTTCTGAACTTTCATGAAGCTAATACAGCTGCTGGGTTCAGTTGGTTAAATATTTGTCATGGAAGTGCTGATCTGTGAAGAGTTATCAGCAATGAGATGTTCAGTTTCCGTTTGAGATCTTGACACAGTCACGCTCCCTTTTTGAGCCTCAGCAGGCTGCTCATGTGCTAGGTGAAGGCCCAGCTGTACTGCCACCTCAACGTGAGGTGAAGAGTATCCTTCATGACCCCAGACTGGGTTTCCCCTTCCTCATTCCACCATGCGCAAGACCTTTGTGGCCTTGAACTGCCGATGCTGGAGTCTGAGATAACACAGTGTGGAGCTGGAGGAACACAGCAGGCCAGGCAGCATCAGAGGAACAGGAAAGCTGACTTTTCGGGTTGGGACCCTTCCTGAGAAATGGAGAAACTTTTCTGTGAATGTTTTCTGTTGACACCCTTTTCCTTTTGAGACCCTTTTTCATTTTGGACTCCTTTTCAGTGGAGCATCACTTTCTCTGCCCCAGTCAGGAGTGGCTGCCTCACTTGGTCATGTTCAAGAACCTGATCACTCCACTTCTTACACTGTAACTGCTTAAGAACTACGACTAAGACCACACATCTGAGACTTTTCGTTGGCTGGTTGACCCAGTAAGGCTTCACTCCTTACGCAGTCAGTGTTTGTGCAAAGAAAGAGCTGGATTATGAAGAATTTGAGCCGGTGAAGAATTTTGTACTCACTGGAGCTTTGAGGAAAAAGGTCTATGCTGCCAAGTACATGGGTCATATTTGTAGTCACACGTGAACACACGTGTTCTGTATTTTTGGCGAACATGATTGTGCCCATGACTGTATATCACAGAGGCTGGGGTCCTCATGAGTAAATATTAATGACACGTTACTCAATACGAAAAGGGTTCCTGACCATGAAGTTCAGGAAGACAGGCCCGCCTGAAAAGTTCTGAGATCTTAACAACAAAACTTTAACACTCACTGCACAAAACTGATTTTTTTATTTTGCCTGCTGCTCAAATAAGTTACTCCCAACCTAACCTTCTAAAAGCATCACACAAATTCTGAAGTTGTACCCAATATTATCATGGACTAGTCTTCATTATAAGAACAGAATTGTCACTTGGAAACTGACTAGTGAAGGAGAGGTGAAAGTAACAATGTGCCATGGCACACAAAGACAAATTTGTCAAAATTTAATCTAAAT